CACCGCCTCTGCTCGCTCCTTCGACTTCACCTTGCTTGGTTGGCTCTGTCTCCCTGTGCGCCTGGGAGGCCAGCCCTCTGATGTGGGCCTGACCACACTGGGGTGCTCTTTCCTAACGCTTTCCCTCCGGTTCCAGGACAATTGCCCCCTACTCTTCAATCCCCGGCAGTCCGACTATGACAAGGATGAAGTCGGGGACCGCTGTGATAACTGCCCTTACGTGCACAACTCTGCGCAGATCGACACCGACAGCAATGGCGAGGGGGACGCCTGCTCTGTGGACATCGATGGCGATGGTCAGTGGTCTATTTGTTTCAGTGACACGTGTTCGTGTTCATCACAGTTTTTCTGGGCAGGGTTTGCACATCTGAGGGTTCCGCTCACTGCAGCGAGATTTGAAAGGGTGTGACATCGACCTTGTAGGTCTATAAGAACTCCTGAGGTGATTAACACCTAAGTGCACAGGTCAGGTGTGCACAGGTCAGGTGCACATGCCACGTCCTTGCACAGGAGCTGAGCACCCTGGACTGGGCTCCTTGGGCGCCTGGACCCGTCCTCTACCAAAGCTGGGGCGATGGCACTGCACACCCCGTGCTTCCTCTGCACTCAGCTGCCTCCACACTCGCGTGAAACTCAGGCCCGGCAGACACAGCTCTTTCTCTGGGCCCACCCTCACGGTGCCCTTGCCTTTCCCACCTGTTGGGAAAGCGGGATGGCGTGTCCCTTTCCCTGACCCCCTCCTGGCAGCCCTGCACCCTAGCCCCCTGCCAGCTTCTCCCGCGCACACTCTGTTGAAGTTCCCCGCCTCATCCCACAGCCTGTCCCCAAGCTCCCCTGTCCGTCTGCCCGCTCCTCCCACAGGCCCAGGTTCCCAGGGGCACAGCAGGGCAGCTGCGTGGTGTGGCCTCAGACACGCTGTGGCTGGCTCCTGGCTCTGAGCCCTCCTGCCCACAGAGAAGGAGCCCGCGACCCTGGGCTGTGGCCTGCTGGGGCCTTTCTCGGGTGGCAGTGCCCTCTCTGCCCCTCTCCTCGTGCTGTGGGCTGCGAATCTCGCGCCCCTCCCGACCCGTCTCCGCCCCTCTCCTCGTGCTGTGGGCTGCGAATCTCGCGCCCCTCCCGACCCGTCTCCGTCCTGCCCTCAGCAACCACCCTCAGCCCCTCTGACTCACTCTATGTCCCAAAGTGCACTCTGTCACTCTCCAGCCAGTTTCTGCGTCCCCTGCCCCAGGACACATGTGCACTCAGGTGCCCCTTGGCTTTGTGTGCTTAGGCAGAGCCCCACTTCCCGAGCTGAACTGGCATCTGCCACCTGCTCTGAAGCCCACGTGCTCTTAGGCGTCTCTTGACCTGACCCCAGGGGACCTCCCAGGCCTGCTCCACTGGCGGGGGCCAGGCCAGGGCCCCCAGGTCACCCCGCGCCTCGGACTCTGCGTGTTGGTGCTTTCTTAGTCATCTGGCAGGATCGGGCCCTGCTCTTGGCTTTTCATTAAACTCTGGTACTAGTAGGACTCACTGTCCATCTCAGACCTCTGAAACATGTCTCACATCGAGAGCCCGCGGTCCCTGCCCGTCCCTGCCTGTCCCCGCCAGGTGGTGCCCTGCCTGTGCACCTGGAGGGCAGGTGATGAGCCGGGAGGAGGGGCAATGCTGAACTCAGTGTTCCCTGCGCCTGTCCAGCAGCAGGGCCAGGCGCTGGAGCCAGCTGGAGGAGCCTGTCCTCACCTGCTCGCTCCGGCAGGCCTGTCCACGCTGGGCTGGGCCCGGCTCCCAGGAGTCTGTGGACTCTGGCCTCCCCACCTCCCAGTCCTTGCAGGCCACTGAGTGAAGGCGCCTGAGTGGCTGAGGGAGGGCTGCTCCGACTGTGCACTAGCTGCCTTCTGCTTTGACAACAGACGTCTTCAACGAGCGGGACAACTGTCCCTACGTCTACAACACCGACCAGAGAGACACGGACGGGGATGGAGTGGGGGACCACTGTGACAACTGCCCACTGATGCACAACCCCGACCAGGTGAGGAGTGACTGTGCGCAGGGTGGGGCCTTCGCGGTGACTGGGGGGGCCACGGCAGCGGACTGGGAAGAGCCCCTGCTGCAGTGCTGTCCCCATGGCCATGGGCCACAGGGCACAGGCCTCTCCTCTCTGAAGTGAGATGGGGCTCTGTGTGGCGGACGCCCTGCAACAAGCCATCGTGTCCAGATGGCCTCCGCAGGAGACGGACGCCGTCCCGAGTGCGTGGCAGCAGATGCTGCGAGACAGCCTCGGCTGTGTGGGGGAGCTTTCTCCCTCAGGTGACCACGTCCCTGCAGGCCCAGGGCCCGGGTTCCTGGCTCCTGAGCCCTCCCTCTGTGCACCTGGCACCTGCCCGAGGTCTCACTTCCCAGACCCCTGCCCTTCCTCCTGAGACACTCACCAGCGCGTCCCCTGCCCTGTCTGCAGAYGGATGTGGACAATGACCTGGTGGGAGACGAGTGTGACAACAACGAGGACATCGACGATGACGGCCACCAGAACAACCAGGACAACTGCCCCTACATCTCCAACGCCAACCAGGCTGACCACGACAGCGACGGCCAAGGGGACGCCTGCGACTCGGACGACGACAACGACGGAGTCCCCGATGACAGGGACAACTGCCGGCTGGTGTTCAACCCGCAGCAGGAGGACTCGGATGGTAGGCCCAGGGGTGCAGGGGGTGCAGGGGGACCCGGATGGTAGGCCCAGGGG